TATCACAGAAGAGGGAAATCTTCACGTTCACAGCAGCACATTACTTCCTGTTTCCTCTTTCAGCCTTTCTGATTATCCGTCAGTTTATAATACAGAGAAAGATGTTGGCGTACAGTGGTTTCAATGTGGGTCCCTCAAGCTCTGTTTTTATGCTTTTAATAACTGGGTGATGCAAACATACCATGATCTGTACCTATGTGATATGATGTCAGTGATTCTAAACCTCATCAGCCAAGGCTAAGCATAGACAGCTGACTGATGGGGCTATATTCAGACCTACAGCACATATAGTACTGTTCATCAAGAGGGGGGTTTCCCTTCCCCATCCACTCAATGACAGCCACAAACTGTAGTTATTTCTACATACCTGGTTCCACTGTAGGTCATTCACAGTGGCAGGTGGTGAGAAGTGGGCAGATATATGGAGAGGGTTTATTCTCTACACATCAACAGTCATTCTCTGCCTCCTCTCTCTAAATACACTACCGGTCACAAGTTTTAGAACACCTACTCATTCAAGGGTTTTTCTTTACTTTTAATATTTTCTACATTGTAGAATAATAGTGAAGACATCAAAACTATGAAATAAGACATATGGAATCATATAGTAACCAGAAAAGTGTTAAAAAAAGCAAAATATATTGTATATTTGAGATTCTTCAAATAGCCATCCTTTGCCTTGATGACAGCTTTGCACACTCTTGGCATTCTCTCAACCAGCTTCATAAGGTAGTCACCTGGAATGCATTTCAATTAACAGGGGTGCCTTGTTAAAAGTTCATTTATTTCCCTCTTAATGCATTTGAGCCAATCAGTTGTGCTGTGACAAGTTGGGGGGGGAGGGGGGGGGGGGGGGGGGGTATACAGAAGATAGCCCTATTTAGTAAAAGACCAAGTCCATATTATGGCAAGAACAGCTCAAATAAGCAAAGAGAAACAACAGTCCATTGTTACTTTAAGACATGAAGATCAGTGAAAATGTCTTCAAGTGCAGTCGCAAAAACCATCATGTGCTATGATGAAACTGGCTCTCATGAGGACCGCCACAGGAATGGAAGACCCAGAGTTACCTCTGCTGCAGAGGATAAGTTCATTAGAGTTACCAGCCTCAGAAATTGCAGCCCAAATAAATGCTTCATTGAGTTCAGACACATCTCAACATCAACTGTTCAGAGGAGACTGTGTGAATCAGGCCTTCATGGTTGAATTGCTGCAAAGAAAGCACCATTAAAGGACACCAATAATAAGAAGAGACATGCTTGGGCCAAGAAACACGAACAATGGACATTAGACCGGTGGAAATTTGTCCTTTGGTCTGGAGGTTTTTGGTTCCAACCGCTGTGTCTTTGTGAGACGCGGTGTGGGTGAACGGATGATCTCCGCATGTGTATTTCCCACCGTAAACATGGAGGAGGAGGTGTTATGTTGTGGGGGTGCTTTGCTGGTGACACTGTCTGTGATTTATTTAGAATTGAAGGCACACTTAACCAGCATGGCTACCACAGCATTCTGCATTGATACACCATCCCATCTGGTTTGGGCTTAGTGGGACTATTTGTTTTTCAACAGGACAATGACCCAACACAACTTCAGGCTGTGTACGGGCTATTTTACCAAGAAGGAGAGTGATGGAGTGCTGCATCAGATGACCTGGCCTCCACAATCCCCTGACCTCAACCCAATTTAGATGGTTTGGGATGAGTTGGACCGCGGAGTGAAGGAAAAGCAGCCAACAAGTGCTCAGCATATGTGGGAACTCCTTCAAGACTGTTGGAAAAGCATTCCAGGTGAAGCTGGTTGAGAGAATGCCAAGAGTGTGCAAAGCTGTTATCAAGGGAAAGGGTGGCTATTTGAAGAATCTCAAATATAAAATATATTTTGATTTGTTTAACACTTTTTTGGTTACTACATGATTCCATATGTGTTATTTCAGAGTTTTACATTTAACATTTTAGTCATTTAGCAGACACTCTTATCCAGAGCGACTTACAGTTAGTGCATACTATATATATGTGTCATACTTTTGATGTGTTCATTATTATTCTACAATGTAGAAAATAGTTTTAAAAAAATAAGAAAAACCCTTGAATGAGTAGGTGTTCTAAACCTTTTGACCAGTAGTGTACATCCTCCTTGACTGCCCTCCCTCTACCCTAGAACCTATATCCTAAAACCAGTGCCTGCTCTGATTCCCCCTGTGGTGTGGCAGGCCTCTGATGGTAGTTTATAGACAGATACAGTGAGGTCAGGTGACAGTGATCCCTGTAGGTGGGTTAGTTATAGACATGGAGAGCCATTGACACAATATGAATGACACCTCCTCTGAGGCTTATTTCATAGTCAGTCATTCATGAGCAGTAATTGGAATGAATGTGGTCACCATATTATCCATTATTATAGAAAGTAATGTTCCTCTCTGAGGACAATAAAGTGTAACTATCCAAAGCAGAGTTTTCTCCCTTTACAGATTGGTTATGTAATAAAGAAAGGATGATAACCCTACTGTATTTTAAAAGATAACTTTTCAGAGGGAGAATAGAAAGGTGTTTACCCCCACGGTATCTCAGAAACCATATTACTAGGAGGTGGGAGTCTGGGATTCTAGTCATCTTTCCCCGTTCTAAAATGGAAGATTAGGTATCAGAGATGGATCCTTCATTACACTACCTTTACCTTTTGTTTCAACATCTCCTCAGTGTTCTCTCTTGGGTTATTATGAGGAATACAGTGGACCGCACAAAAACGAGATAGAAGGCAATCAATATAGCAGTCTGGCTAAATGTATTACCTCTCACAGGACCCACACTTCTGTGTCTCCAAGCATCCATTTCTCTCCCAGCGATTGGCTTTAGTTTTCCTTGATTATCTTGATTCATGGCAAGGCCCTGGGGCGGCATCTTCTTTCCCAAAGGCTTGAATGAACGCTGGTTTGAGGGAGAATGGAATAGCCCCAGTGTAATCGTGCTGTAAAATATTTATTCAGGAGAAAAGCCTTTATTGGGTCTAAGTATGGTGCTGTGGTGTGTGTGTATTTAGTATTTTGTTAGGATCCCCATTAGCTAGTGCTAAAGCAGCAGCTACTCTTCCTGGGGTCCAAACAAAACATAAAACATTACATAATTAAGCAATAAGGCCCGAGGGGGTGTGGTATGTGGCCAATATGCCACGGCTAAGGGCTGTTCTTAAGCACGACGCAACGCGGAGTGCCTGGATACAGACATACAGTGGGGGAAAAAAGTATTTAGTCAGCCACCAATTGTGCAAGTTCTCCCACTTAAAAAGATGAGAGAGGCCTGTAATTTTCATCATAGGTACACGTCAACTATGACAGACAAATTTAGATTTTTTTTCCAGAAAATCACATTGTAGGATTTTTTATGAATTTATTTGCAAATTATGGTGGAAAATAAGTATTTGGTCACCTACAAACAAGCACGATTTCTGGCTCTCACAGACCTGTAACTTCTTCTTTAAGAGGCTCCTCTGTCCTCCACTCGTTACCTGTATTAATGGCACCTGTTTGAACTTGTTATCAGTATAAAAGACACCTGTCCACAACCTCAAACAGTCACACTCCAAACTCCACTATGGCCAAGACCAAAGAGCTGTCAAAGGACACCAGAAACAAAATTGTAGACCTGCACCAGGCTGGGAAGACTGAATCTGCAATAGGTAAGCAGCTTGTTTTGAAGAAATCAACTGTGGGAGCAATTATTAGGAAATGGAAGACATACAAGACCACTGATAATCTCCCTCGATCTGAGGCTCCACGCAAGATCTCACCCCGTGGGGTCAAAATGATCACAAGAACGGTGAGCAAAAATCCCAGAACCACACGGGGGGACCTAGTGAATGACCTGCAGAGAGCTGGGACCAAAGTAACAAAGCCTACCATCAGTAACACACTACGCCGCCAGGGACTCAAATCCTGCAGTGCAAGACGTGTCCCCCTGCTTAAGCCAGTACATGACAGTACAAAATCCTACAATGTGATTTTCTGGATTTTCTTTTCTCATTTTGTCTGTCATTGTTGACGTGTACCTTTGATGAAAATTACAGGCCTCTCTCATCTTTTAAAGTGGGAGAACTTGCACAATTGGTGGCTGACTAAATACTTTTTTTCCCCACTGTATACCACAAACCCCCGAGGTGCCTTATTGCTATTATAAACTGGATACCAATGTAATTAGAGCAGTAAAAATAAATGTTTTGTGATACCTGTGGTATACGGTCTAATATAAAACGGCTGTCAGCCAATCAGCATTCAGGGCTCGAACCACCCAGTTTATAATACATAATAATAGACAAGTACAGCACAAGGACATAACTACATAAAGTGTGTGTACCTATGTATTTACTTATATATTTACATAATTGTATGGATAGATGAACGCATTAATGGGTGTACGTATCATGAATGGATACTTACATTCAAAGCTTGTTACAATATCCATGAACATTGTTTGAACAAAAATAATTATGTTTATTCGGCATTCATTTGGTAAACCTTAATGATCTTATGCTGAGATATAGTCACACCACTTCATCAATATCTAGATATAGTCCCGTGTAGCTCAGTTGGTAGAGCATGGCGCTTGCAACGCCAGGGTTTTGGGTTCGATTCCCACGGGGGACCAGTATGAAAATGTATGCACTCACTAACTGTAATTCGCTCTGAATAAGAGCATCTGCTAAATGACTAAAATGTAATAGACAATGAACCCTGCTCTCCTTTTTACATGACAAAGTCTATGTGTCCACAGTTCCTGTTCTTCAAGTGACAGTAGATATATTCATTTATTTATGCACAAATTAATGCATAACATTTTAAGTTCTCTCTTCTTTCTCATGTCTTTCATTTTTCAAGATATGGCACAAAAAATCCCTCTAATCAACATTCAAATGAGTGTTTAGGTCCTCTGTCCAAAGATGCTGGTGTTAGGGCGCCACCTATTGACTGAAAGTAGAAATGCATTGAGATATAAAAAACAAAAATCATTTTATGATTGGTGCAGAAGGTATTGTTTCAGTTCTGTGGGGATCTGGAGACCATGGATTGAACTAAGTCTGGCCTTTCCCAAAATCTTCCTGATGGACAGTTGGCACAGCTGCATCAGACGAGACACTCCTGGCCAGGCATCCAAGAAGAAATCATAATTTAGAACGACAGAAATACATTTTCAGGGTTAGATGTTTTAAATGATACAAGAACAGTGTAAATAGTATCAAAATCTATTACTATATCATGGTATCACATTGCAAGAACCAATAACCCTTTCACAAACACCAGCATATGTATGATAGGTTTAATTTCAAGTATACAAGCAGTTCAAAACACCACCAAAATCTTGTGTATCAGATAGATCCATTGGGGGACTAGCTACCTGCTCTGTGGCCCAGCACTAGTTTCTCCACGGGGCTGTTGGGAGAGGCCAGGTCCAGGGGCCGTTTGCCCTGTGTGTCTCTGCTGCTGCAGTCAGCCCCATGCTCCAGCAGAACAGACATCAGCTCAGGGTTGGACAGACGGGCTGCCACGTGCAAAGGAGAATCCCCATCCTTACTGCTGTTCACACTAGCACCTGACCGAGAGTGTATATTTATGGATATTGTGTGGAAAATGTATGGATTTTGTATGTACAGTAAATGTCATATAACAGTGCCAGGTGAATCAGCCTCAACCTACACTATATATACAAAAGTATGTGGATACCCTTTCAAATTAGTGGATTCAGCTATTCCTGACAGGTGTATAAAATCGAGTGCACAGCCATGCAATCTCCATAGACAAACATTGGCAGTAGAATGGCCTTACTGAAGAGCTCAGTGACTTTCAACGTGGTACCGTCATAGGATGCCACCTTTCCAACAAGTCAGTTTGTCAAATTTCTGCCCTGCTAGAGCTGCCCCGGTCAAATGTAAGTGCTGTTATTATGAAGTGGAAACGTCTAGGAGCAACAACGGCTCAGCCGCTTAGTGGTAGGCCACACAAGCTCACAGAATGGAACCACCGAGTGCTGAAGTGCGCAGCGCGTGAAAATCTTCTGTCCTCGGTTGCAACACTCACTACCGAGTTCCAAACTGCCTCTGGAAGCAACGTCAGCACAAGAACTGTTCGCCAGGAGCTTCTTGAAATGGGTTTCCATGGCCGAGCAGCCACACACAAGCCTAAGATCACCATGCTCAGTGCCAAGCGTCGGCTGGAGTGCTGTAAAGCTCATCGCCATTAGACTCTGGAGCAGAGGAAACGCATTCTCTGGAGTGATGAATCACGCTTCACCATCTGACAGTCCGACGGTTTGGTGGATGCCAGAAGAACTTTACGTGTACCAATGCATAGTGCCAATTGTAAAGTTTGGTGGAGGAGGAATAATGGTCTGGGGCTGCTTTTCATTGTTTGGGCTAGGCCCCTTAGTCCCAGTGAAGGGAAATGTTAATGCTACAGCATACAATGACATTCTAGACGATTCTGTGCTTCCAACTTTGTGGTAACAGTTTGGGGAAGGCACTTTCCTGTTTCAGCATGACAATGCCCCCATGCACAAAGTGAGGTCCATACAGAAATAGTTTGTCGAGATTGGTGTGGAAGAACTTGACTGGCCTGCACAGAACCTTGACCTCAACCCCATCAAACACCTTTGGGTTGAATTGGAACGCAGACTGTGAGCCAGGCCTAATCGCCCAACATCAGTGCCCGATCTCACTAATACTATTGTGGCTGAATGGAAGCAAGTCCCCGCAGTAATGTTCCAACATCTAGTGGAAAGCCTTCCCAGAAGAGTGGAGGCTGTTATAACAGCAAAGGGGGGACCAACTCCATATTAATACCCATGATTTTGGAATGAGATGTTCGACAACCAGGTGTCCACATACTTTTGGTCATGTAGTGTATGTAATGTGCCTTGGTAAAATGTATTATATACTGCAGAACCTTGTGATAGAAGCACACTGGTCAATGTCTAGTGCAGATTCTACAGTATCTGTGTAATAATAACAAAAGGAAGAGAATCCACTTTCATACCTAGCTGAACCAATTTCTTCACAGTGCTCAGATGCTGATTGGTGCAGGCAGTGTAGAGTGGGGAGCCTGATTGGTCAGTGTGTTGATTGACATCTGCCCCGTGATGAACCAGAGACTCAATGCACTCTGGGTGACCTGGACAGCGATATCATCAAGAAATAAAGAACAGTGTGTGGGATCTGCTTTGAAAAAGTGCTTACAGTATCTAAATCTAGGGAATGATACATTTCATGACACTTATCATAACAAAATAAATCAACGTGACCATGGTTTAACAAATGGTGGCAGCATCTCCCATAAAATGCTTCAACAACAGTACGTTTTTAGGTAATGGTGCCCTTTTTTATTTTATAAAAGCTGACACGTTTTGACTTTCATCTTTGTCAAAGTGCTGTAGCTACTGTATATTAACCTTTGAGAGAGAAAAAAGTAATGCATCATGATCCCTTCATAATGCTATTTTCTCCAACATTTTGTCATCCCTACAGGGATTTTCCCTTTACTACTTTGGCACAAGCTGCAGTGCAGTCTTCAGTGAATCACGTGGCTACTGCCTTGGCTGATGCACCACGGATAGGGTTGCAAAATTCCAGGAACTTTCAATACATTCTCTGGTTTTCCCCAAATCCCGGTTGGAGGATTCCCGGTGTCAGGAGGGATTAAGCAGGAAAATCTGTTACCCTCCAACCAGGATTTCTAGAAAACCAGGGAATTTATTGAACGTTCCCAGAATTTTGCAACCCTAACTGCCACGGAATCTGCCGAGGCTGCTCCTCCTTGCTCGGGCAGGTTTCGGCGGTCGTCGTCCCCGGAGTACTAGCTACCACCGTTGTATGTTTCTATGTTCGTTTGCTTTTGTCTGATTGTTGTACACCTGTGGTTAGTTAGCGTTGATTATGTGTCCTATAAGTTCTCATTTTGTTAGTCATGTGTTGTGTGTTATTGAGCTTCCTGTCTTCGTGTCTGTATTGGTTTTCCCTCCTTGTGTTTTAGGAGAGGTTTTCGCACTTGTTGTGCGCGTTAGTATTTTTCCTGTTAGTTTACGCCTGTGTGCGTATCGCTCGTCTCCAGGCACTTTTGCTCGTATTGATCTACTAAAGACTGTTGAACGAAGCTTCTGTGTCCTGCGCCTGATTCCCGCACCTTCCACATACAGCACTCCTGACAGAATAACACACCAAGATGGAATCAGCGGAAACAGCACTAGCATCCGAGTCCCTGGAGGAGCGCGTCCGCGAGCAGAATGACCAGATCAACCGCATCGGGACCGCCCTTCAGGACGTTATAAACACTGCACCGATGGGAGAACAGAGGGGCACCCACATCTCCCCCTACCTTGCCATCACCATCGGCCAGTCCGCCCATCCAAGCTCCGGAACCCAGTGGGATTCGGCTCTCGCTCCCGAGGGCGTATGATGGTACCACTGCCGGGTGTCTGGGGTTCCTCCTGCAGGTGGAACTATACCTGGCCACCGTACACCCGGCGCCCTCGGGACACGAGAGCGTTTCCGCCCTCATCTCCTGTCTCACCGGCAAGGCGTTGGAGTGGGCCAACGCCGAATGGAGGAGGATAGACGCCGCCACGATCACATACGCGGAGTTCTCCCGCCGCTTCAGGGCTGTGTTCGACCATCCACCTGAGGGGAAAGCGGCGGGGGAGCGTCTATTCTACCTCCGGCAGGGGAGGAGGAGCGCCCAGGAATTTGCACTGGAGTTCCGGACTCTAGCGGCTGACACAGGGTGGAATGAGCGGGCCCTCATCGATCATTATCGTTGTAGTCTTCGGGAGGACGTCCGTCGAGAGCTGGCCTGCAGGGATACCAGTCTCACGTTCGACCAGTTGGTGGACATGTCCGTCCGGCTGGACACCCTGCTGGCCACCCGCGGACGTTCCGAGTGGGGTTCGTCCATTCCACCCTCCAGCACCTCCGAGCCGAGCCCTATGGAGCTCGGGGGTGCTGGCGCTAGAGAGAAGAGGGGAAGGAGCACGAGGGGGGCCATCCCCTGCACCAACTGTGGCCGTAGAGGACACACCGCGGCCAGGTGTTGGGGAGGGTCTCCTAGGGGAGAGGACGGCAGGCCCTGCACTGGGGAGTCCTTCCAGGTGAGTAGGCGTCCCACTTACCCAGAGCTCTCTGTTGTGCACTTCTGTATACCTGTGCGATTTCCACAGGTTGCACCTCATTCCCAGCATAAGGCGCTAGTAGATTCAGGCGCAGCTGGGAATTTTGTTGATCGTAAATTTTGTTTAGAATTAGGGATTCCCCTACTTCCTGTTGACATCCCATTTCCTGTTCATGCCCTAGATAGCCGTCCGTTGGGATCGGGGTTGATCAGGGAAGTCACAGCGCCACTTAGGATGTGTACGCAGGGGGGTCATGAGGAGACTATCCAGCTATATCTTATCGACTCTCCTGCGTATCCGGTGGTGCTGGGAATTCCCTGGTTGAGTACCCATGATCCTTCTATTTCGTGGCAAGAGAGGGCTCTTAAGGAGTAGGTCTGCCCAGTGTGAGAGGAGATGTTTGGGTGTTTCCGTGGGGGCGACCTCGGTGGAGAGTCCAAACCAGGTGTCCTCACTGCGCATTCCCACTGAGTATGAGGATTTGGCACTTGTGTTTAGTAAATCGAGGGCGACGCGTTTGCCTCCTCATAGACAGGGGGATTGTGCGATAGACCTCCAGGCAGGAGCAGCGCTTCCGCGGAGCCATGTGTATCCTCTGTCCCAAGAGGAGAAGAGGGCTATGGAAACTTACATAGCCGAATCTCTAAGACAAGGATACATACGGCCCTCCATTTTCCCATGCGTCCTCGAGCTTCTTTTTTGTGAAGAAAAAGGATGGAGGGTTGCGCCCTTGCATAGATTACCGTAGTCTCAATCAGATCACTGTGAAGTACAGTTATCCACTCCCTCTGATTGCGACTATGACTGAGTCTTTGCACGGAGCCCGTTTCTTCACGAAACTGGATCTCAGGAGCGCATATAACTTGGTGTGCATTAGGGAGGGCGATGAATGGAAAACGGCATTTAGTACCACCTCGGGTCATTACGAGTATGATGAATGCTCCTTCAGTCTTCCAATCCTTCGTGGATGAGATTTGCAGGGGCAGGGGCAGGGTGTGGTCGTGTACATAGATGACATCCTGGTTTACTCGCCTACCCGAGACGAGCATGTAGCCCTGGTGCGTCGTGTGTTGGGTAGGCTGTTGGAGCACGACCTGTATGTCAAGGCAGAGAAATGTCTGTTTTTCCAGGAGTCGGTCTCCTTTCTGGGTTATCAGTTATCCGCGTCAGGGGTGAAGATGGAGGTTGACCGGGTATCAGCCGTGCGTAATTGGCAAACCCCAACCACCGTGAAAGAGGTGCAGCAGTTATTGGGTTTTGCGAATTACTACCGGAGGTTTATCCGGGGTTTTGGACAGGTGGCAGCTCCCATAACGTCTCTTCTGAAGGGGGGTCCGGTGCGATTGCAGTGGTCAGCGGAGGCGGACAGGGCATTTGGGAGACTGAAGGCCCTGTTTACCTCGGCTCCAGTGCTTGCGCATCCGGATCCCGCCTTACCATTTCAGGTAGAGGTGGACGCGTCTGAGGCCGGTATAGGGGCCGTGCTATCACAACGGTCCGGCACGGCACCTAAACTCCGCCCCTGTGCTTTCTACTCTAAAAAGCTCAGCCCGGCGGAGCGTAATTATGATGTAGGAGACAGGGAGCTGTTAGCCGTGGTTCAAGCCCTAAAGGTGTGGAGACATTGGCTTGAGGGGGCTCAACACCCTTTTCTCATTTTGACTGACCACCGTAACCTGGAGTACATTCGGGCAGCTAGGAGACTGAACCCTCGCCAGGCTCGGTGGAACATGTTTCTAACCCGGTTTGTATTTAAAATCACGTACATCCCTGGGTCCCAGAACGGTAAGGCAGACGCCCTGTCCCGGCGGTATGACACAGAGGAGAGGTCCGTTGAGCCCACTTCCATACTGCCGGAGTCTTGTCTAGTGGCACCGGTAGTGTGGGAGGTCGATGCTGAAATCGAGCGGGCGTTGCGTACCGACCCTAGTCCTCCACAGTGCCCGGTGGGTCGGACGTACGTTCCGCTCGAGGTTCGGGATCGACTTATTTATTGGGCTCACACGTCACCCTCCTCTGGACATCCAGGTATTGGCCGGACTGTGCACTGCCTTAGCGCTAAGTACTGGTGGCCAACGTTAGCCAGGGATGTGAGGGTTTATGTCTCCTCCTGTTCGGTGTGCGCCCAGTGTAAGGCGCCCAGACATCTGCCCAGGGGTAAGTTACAACCCCTGCCCGTTCCACAACAACCCTTGTCTCACCTCTCGGTGGACTTTGTTACAGACCTTCCCCCCTCTCAGGGGAATACCACCATACTGGTCGTTGTGGATCGGTTCTCTAAAGCCTGTCGTCTTCTCCCAATGCCAGGTCTTCCCACTGCCTTGCAGACCGCTGAGGCACTATTCACCCACGTCTTCCGGCATTACGGGGTACCCGAGAATATAGTGTCTGATCGAGGTCCCCAGTTCACCTCCCGAGTCTGGAGAGCGTTCATGGAGCGCCTGGGGGTCTCGGTGAGCCTTACCTCGGGGTACCACCCGGAGAGTAATGGGCAGGTAGAACGTGTGAACCAGGATGTGGGTAGGTTTCTGAGGTCGTATTGCCAGGGCCGGCCGGAGGAGTGGGCGAGGTATATTCCCTGGGCAGAGATGTCCCAGAATTCTCTTCGCCACTCCTCCACCAACCTAACCCCTTTCCAATGTGTGTTAGGTTACCAGCCGGTTCTGGCACCGTGGCATCAGAGCCAGATCGAGGCCCCTGCGGTGGATGAGTGGGTAGGGCGCTCGGAGGAGACGTGGAACGCTGCACACGTCCATCTGCAGCGGGCCATCCGTCGACAAAAAGCGAGCGCCGATCTCCACCGCAGTGAGGGGCCGGTGTACGCACCTGGAGATCGAGTCTGGCTCTCGACCAGAAACCTACCCCTCCGCCTGCCCTGCCGGAAGCTGGGTCGGCGGTTTGTAGGGCCCTTTAAAGTCCTGAGGAGATTGAACGAGGTGTGTTACAGGTTACTACTACCTATTGAGTATAAGAATATTAACCCCTCGTTCCATGTGTCTCTTCTCAGGCCGGTGGTAGCTGGTCCACTCCAGGAAGGTGAGATAGCAGAGACTCCTCCGCCCCCATTGGACATCGAGGGGGCTCCGGCGTACACAGTTCGGTCCATCTTGGATTCGAGATGTCGGATGGGGGGTCTCCAATATCTTGTGGAGTGGGAGGGGTACGGCCCGGAGGAGCGGTGCTGGGTGCCGAGGAGGGACATCCTAGACCCGTCTCTCCTGACTGAGTTCCACCGTAGTCACCCTACGCGCGTCCTCCTGGTCGTCCCCGAGGCCGGGGTCGGCGCACGGCTGGAGCCACGCGTCAAGGGGGGGGTACTGTCACGGAATCTGCCGAGGCTGCTCCTCCTCCTTGCTCGGGCAGGTTTCGGCGGTCGTCGTCCCCGGAGTACTAGCTACCACCGTTGTATGTTTCTATGTTCGTTTGCTTTTGTCTGATTGTTGTACACCTGTGGTTAGTTAGCGTTGATTATGTGTCCTATAAGTTCTCGTTTTCTTAGTCATGTGTTATGTGTTATTGAGCTTCCTGTCTTCGTGTCTGTATTGGTTTTCCCTCCTTGTGTTTTAGGAGAGGTTTTCGCACTTGTTGTGCGCGTTAGTATTTTTCCTGTTAGTTTACGCCTGTGTGCGTATCGCTCGTCTCCGGGCACTTTTGCTCGTATTGATCTACTAAAGACTGTGTTGAACGAAGCTTCTGTGTCCTGCGCCTGATTCCCGCACCTTCCACATACAGCACTCCTGACACTAACCACAGAGGATCTATCTATCTATTAGCAGTACGTCCTTCAGAATGTGAACCCTGACCTTTGGCTGTGGCCTGGTGGATGTGGGAGGCTGAGAGGCTGGATCCTTGGGGTGAGGCTCCGTGCTGGAGGAGCAGGGTCACACAGACCGCGTGGCCCTGTGCACAGGCCTCTGACAGGGGGGTGGTCCGCTCCAATGTGGGGACGTTCACCTGGTACCACAGACAACAACATGCACTCATCAGCTCTACTGAACAGCTCTTATCTTACATCCAATACATCTTGCCACATCCCTCTACCATCCTATCAAAACCAACAAAAGTACTTGTTATAGCCTGCTGTGAAGGTTAACACTCCTCTGTCTGTCACATTGTAATCATATTTATTTTTTATTTTTTTCATACCCCCTGTGGGAATCAAACCCACAACCCTGGCGTTGTAAACACCATGCTCTATCAACTGAGCTACATCCCTGCAGGCCATTCCCTCCCCTACCCTGGACGACGCTGGGCCAATTGCGCGTCGCCCCATTGGTCTCCCGGTCGCGGCCGGCTATGACAGAGCCCCCTATCATGAATGGGGGACCAATCTGACTCAATATCTTACAAGAGAAGAACAACATGCATAAGATAATTCAAATATACATACATTAATTAGCCAAAGCATGGATATAGACAAGTGGATACTTTTAGTGTATCGCACCAAGCAGTCTATTACTCACCACTCATCAAAGGGTTGGAGAGAAAAACAACAGATCCAGTCTGAGTTGCATTGTTGCTCTGGTTGTCACTGCTGTGTCCTGTGGCCTGTCTCATTGTTGACCTATAGAGTTCCTCAAATCAGACAGCAGTCTAGTAGTCTGTCTTGCACCATCGGTTTTGTAACATCAGCAACTGGACTGTGACCTGTCGCTGGTGTCAATATATATCTGTACCCATCTGTTCCTGAACTGTTTTTGGGGTGTTTTTGGCATCAGGTCCCAACTCAGAGCTTGTGATGTCATTTCCCCTCAGACTCAGAGTCTGCTATGCAGGAAGTGGGTTTGAATGCCCTACTGGGCTGGTTTTTACAGTGCACATGGTGCTCATTAAGAACCAATGGTGGGGCAGAGAGAGTGAGTGGAAGCCTGTTGAGCAGGTCTGTAACTTGACACTGTCATCACAAACAGTCCACTCAAAGACAGACCATATAAACTATATACGGCAGTACAATAATGACAAGATGAACATTTAACACTTATAAGACGGGTCCAGTATAAGAAGGAGGGAGAGAGGGAAGGAGAGGGCTTGATAAAGAAATATAGAGGGGGGAGAGGGGGAAGTGGAGGAAGAGAGAGTTGGGGCTGGAAAGACACATAGGAAAAATCCTGTGTGTTATTGGAAAGAAATGCAGTTCAAATAGCTGGCTGGATAGGCTTTTAAATGCCTACATTTTACAAGGAGGAATTCAAAGCTCACAGAGATTTGCCAGAGAGAGAAATTTGCCAGAAACCAATTTATGCTCCCTACTTTTTCCATTTGGAGGATACAATGTTGTCTTAGAGAGGAAATACACCAGAAAGTCTTACTTACTTACTGCATTGTCTGGCATAGGTTCATCTTTCGTGGACAGACTATGTAAACATAAATCGAGCATCCGACCAGTTACGTGAGACTTTAGTTCTGGGTTAACCAAGATTAGACATAGGTACCACAGGAAGCTGGTGATGGGAGGACGGCTCACAATAATGGCTGGAATGGAGTAAATGTAATGGTATCAAACACATGGAAATAATGTCCTCCCCAATTAAGGTGCCACCAGCCACCTGTGATAGGTACACTGGCATCATCAACCACTGACACTGCCCAAAGCAGATCCGCTATGATAATAAACTAATCATCCACATAAATTAGTTGATTTTTAAATACCCCAAATTTGCTACCCCTCATTGACATTATCGAGAGGCAAACACGTGACAGTGAGAAAACATGACAAGGCACTCCTTATACACATTCTGTGACATGCACTCTTCATGGATGCAACGAGGTGATTCTCTATCCCAAGGACAGTCCAGATGAAAACATTCTTTAGAAGTTATTTTATCCACCATCAGATGACAGTAGCAGAGAGAGGTTTGTTCAGAGAGAGAACGAGACAGAGAGAGAAGAGAGAGAGAGCGCTCCAGGGGGTGCTGCAAAATCAAATAGCCTACTATCAATCAATCAAATGTATTTATAAAGCCCTTTTTACATCAGCAGCAAACCCCAAACAGCAAGCAATGCAGATGTAGAAGCACAGTGGCTAGCAAAAACTCCCTAGAAAGGCAGAAACCTAGGAAGAAACCTAGAGAGGAACCAGGCTCTGAGGGGTGGCCAGTCCTCTTCTGGCTGTGCCGGTTGGAGATTATAAGAGTACATGGCCATTAAGGCCAAATTGTTCTTCAAGATGTTCAAATGTTCATAGATGACCAGCAGGGTTGTAGAGGGTACAACAGGTCAGTACCTCAGGAGTAAATTATGTCGATTAAATCCCTGCCACTGTAAACCTAACACACAAATTACTTTGTGCCTTGTCATAGAAGGTGCATGGATTAGAATAGTTTACCATTGCATAAACCCACTGAATGCCCTCTCTGTAATCAATGCATATTCATAGCTCCTTTGTTTCGTTCCACAAATCCTTTCCGCACCTGCTTTTCTGGTTCTTAGAGTTGGAATGCAGAAGCTCCCTACCTACTCAGGTCACGGTGCTGCGCATTAGGGTGTTCATAATCTATCTGCTCTGGACAGGGTAGGGCCTAGTAACTTTCCTACTGTATTTCAACTTTCGAATGTAGCCTACCTACATTAAAATCACTCTAAACGACTGCATAGTATCACGTTCTTGTATAGTTGGGTCAATTGTTGTAGTAGAAAATGTAAACGTTTGCATACTGTGCATTTCCTATTTTCCACTAGGACTACAGCCCCTGCTATTTATTAAAGGTGAGTCACAGTCTCTTCCTGAACACACATTGATACACTTATTTTTCATACACTCTTAATGCAATCTATATTTAATATTGTAGAGGCATGGACAACTTGTTGGAAAAATTTAACTGAACAAAGAGTAAGCCTTTACACTCCAAATGTCAGAGCAACATTCTTTTGTAGGCTCTTACCAATGTTGGGCAGTTAAACCCTGACTGGAAATATTAAATAGAAGCACATGATGATTCAACCCGTGATTTTCACTAGGAGCAGCTCATACCACGACTAAATGAATGAATTTCCCTTTATTTTCTCCCCTGACACCGTAGACTGCTTTTCTGCATCTAGTCCATGATGGCATCCCCAAGGCTTGAGACGTTCTGCTGCCCAAACAGAGACGCATCGACCGAATTTGTCATTACTTTTCAACCCCTCTTCTTTAGCGCCATTTGCATCGGTAGCGCAGGTTTAAGTTTGATATTTTCTATATTACAACTTTTGCCCAAACGTAGGGGTTACAGACGCCTTGGACAGTACCCTCTTCCTAAACCAGCGTCTTCGTCGAGAATATTGTTTATCATCAGCATATGTGATATACTGGGATGTGCAGGTAAGGAAATATCCCGTTACTTTTCATCAACACTTTCCATGTCACTGCCGATACGATGGAGAGTTTACTCAAAGATTATAATTGTGTCAGCCTACTTTACTGTGAACTTTTTAATTGTTCATCATAGCCTATGACAATGGAATCAAATATTGTAGCTAGTGAAACACCAGTTCTTATCATATGCAATAGGGCATATTGCTCAATTTGCTCATTTTGTAACAGCTCTCAGTCTCACATGGAAATCCACTCATGGCACATCATGTAGCTAAGCCTAGTTATGATGACGCATGAGCCAACATTTTCAAGTTGTTATAAACCATTTCAGCATTGTGAAAGAATGGACTCTTACCAGCTTGTTTTCATAACGGCCACTAAATTATACACAATGAAGAAAATACAGTATAGTGCCACAAGCCTACCCTTGGACTGATTTGTCTCCTGGCAGTGTCTAAATGAGGCAATTTATAGGCCTAGCTACTATAGTAGGAATGTAGTTTCAGTTTCTTAACATCACCTAGGCAACTGTTTGAAATGAGAATATGAGCTGGATAATGCCTTGATATAGTAATATTAGAATTAGACTAATGTGAGAGGTGTAGTCTAGTCAGCTTACAATGCTTGAATTGTTCACTGGTGACATTTTATGGCGTCGAAGCCCTCTCTGAAATAGTCACAAAATGGACATTTGTCACACAAAATGATAGCATGCTAAATCAAAGCACTTTAAGTTGAGTCATGGCCTTTACTAGAAGGTCTAGTAGTGAGATAAGACACTAATGGAGAGAAGAAGAGCTGACTGAGGACTGCTGTCCTTTTGTGAGAATAATACTGATGGACTGATCAATTCTATTCTTCATTTAAGTTAGTATGCTGATATATTTGTTTAAATGAAAACATATGTCATTGTCTACTGGGAAAATGACATAAGAACACAATGATTCAACAAGTTAAATCAATTGGTAGTGAGAAATGATACATTTGACATTCTCTACCCACAAAAGTACGTCTTTCTTTGTTATTTTGCTTCTACAAAAGGTGTCAAAGAATAATCTAATTAAGCTGAATAGTATGTGGTTCCAGTTTCTCCCAGCAAGGTTGTTTTCCCACAGCAAATAAAACAACTTTAATAAGTTCATCATGCCACATTTCAGCCAAAGCACACTAGAGCATCAAGTACATCACGTTAAGTTACTGAAGTATACTCACACGTTTCCCAGCGTCATAGCACAGTGCAGCAGGGCAGCCCTATCGGATGCAGGAAGCGGAAAGGCCCTTATGAACGCTGGGAGGCCTCTAGTATTTCCATTACACTTGTAACCACAATAAGAAGGATTCCATGACAGAATCACATTAACAAGGTGTATAATAACATGAGCCAAATAAGCAACAGCTTCATTATCTGTTTCCAGTGTTAATTAAAGCCATTATTTAACTCCAGTATAATACCCTGTAATGTGTGTATGATGCTATGGTGATTTCCGTCCACCTCACAAAGATGACAGTTTAACGGACAGATGTTTAAAAATCACTCTCTATTTCTATTTAGTTTCTGTGATCTGAGTCATGTTGCATTTGTTTGACCGTTCACTTCTTTTAGGTCTATTGAATGTATCATCAATGGAGACTCATTGACCTCCATACAGTCAGGAGCCTTATAAAACAGATCTTCATGAGATGTCTTGAGATGTCTTGTTGTGTTTGTCTCCTCCAGGTATCATAGTGAGGTCATCCATCTGGCTGGGCCTGCCCAACCTCGTCAAAGGGATCAATGTGGCCAACAACAGCGACGTGTGGCCAGAGGTGTTCTGCGTCGGCAGTGCAGTACGTATGATACCAACGTCTAGGACTTTTTCCTGACCATGTGACCTGACCAGGAGAAACTCCTGACCTGGCAGAAGAAGAGTTACGGCAGGTAGCCTAGCGGTTAAGAGCGTTGGGCCTGTAACCGAAAGGTTGCTGGTTTGAATCTCTGAGCTGACTAGGTGAAAAATCTGTCAATGTGCCCTTGAGCAAGGCACTTAACCCTAATTGTTCCTGTAAGTCACTCTGGATAAGAGCGTCTACTAAATGACAAAAAGGAGCTCAGCAAATATACAGTACTGAGAGGACCGGGCTAGTAGATTATATTTTACATTAGAAACAGTCTTGTGGGCCTCCCGAGTGGCGCAGCAGTCTAAGGCACTTCATGTGGTCCTCTGTAACTCAATTGGTAGAGCATGGTGCTTGTAACGCCAGGGTAGTGGGTTCGATCCCCGGGACCACCCATACGTAAAAATGTATGCACACGTGACTGTAAGTTGCTTTGCATAAAAGCGTCTGCTAATTGGCATAATTGTTTAATTTAATCTCAGTGCTTGAGGTGTCACTACAGCTTCGGATTCGATCCCAGGCTGTGTCACAGCCAGCTGTGACCGGGAGACCCATGAGGCGGCACCCAATTCGCCCAGTGTTGTCCGGGTTAGGGGAGAGTTTGGCCGGCCGGGATTTCCTTGTCCCATCGCGCTCTAGCAACTCCTTGTGGCAGGCCGGGTGCTGCAAGCTGACTTCGGTCGCCAGCTGGAGGGTGTTTCCTCCGACACATTGGTGCGGCTGGCTTCCGGGTTAAGCGAGCAGTGTGTCAAGAAGCAGTGCGGCTTGGCAGGGTTGTGTTTCGGAGGACACATGGCTCTCGACCTTCGCCTCTCCCGAGTCCATAGGGGAGTTGCAGCGATGGGACAAGACTGTAACTACCAATTGGATATCACGAAAAGGGGTAAAAGTACAAACAAATAAAAAATACAGTCACTTGCATGACAACATGGTGCTTAAAGGAGTTATTGTTGCGAAGAACCATAAAAAAACACATCTCACTGCACACAGCAGAGAATGTTGAGGGAAGTCAGGAGTGTTGAACCAACACCTTTATTTAGAGAATTTGAAATTCCCTGAGTAAGTAAATTACTCTGCATGAAGCATTTAACAACCGTGATCCCGTTTTTGGGTCTTGGACACACTGACACACAGAGATGGTCATACCTAGTTGCAACTCTCACCCTGTGATCGTTATGCATGCAGAGCCACGTACATAGGCCTATTTGAAATAAAAGAGATTAGACCTAGATTAGATTTAGTTACATTAAAAAGCTATCCGTTACTTATCAAGGAGAGATTCTGCACCATGTATATTATCCTCCTGTATGATGCTTGTTGCAGTATGGTTTATATACAGTGGGTTGTTCTGATGTTGAGTCTGGTTTGTGTTCCCCAGATGTGGATCCAGCTGTTCTTCAGTGCATCCTTCTGGTGGACCTTCTGTTACGCTGTGGACGTCTTCCTTGTGGTCAAAAGATCTGCAGGAATCAGGTATGCTATACTCTCCTCCTGCTATCAATCACATTCTGCAATATCACTTCTATATCAAATGTGTTTTCTCTCAATCAGTGGTGGCTGGTGTCACTTTAAATGGAGAGGATGGGCTCATAGTAATAGCTGGAACGGAATAAATAGAATGGTCTCAAACACATCAAACACCTGGTTTCCATGGTTTCTATGTGTTTGATATACTTCCATTCATTATTATGAGCCATCCCCCCCCCACTAGCCTCCTCTGCTCTCAATATACTCTTGGCTATGTCTCCAGCTGGGAAAAAGTACCACTGCCTCTGATGTGCGCTCTCATCAATATAATATCAGTAACTCGCAATATAATATAGCTACAACTCCTCAATATAAAACTCCTGTGTCTTTCCAGATGGGGAAAAGGACCACTGCGACTGATAGTCTGATGTAGCGCAAAAACAAATATTGTGTTTAATTATTCATACTGTACTAATGATATGCCACTTCCATTAGGCAGAGAATGTGAAAATCTGCTCTTCAGTTCTGATACCACTTCTCTCTGGGCTTTACCGTGTATCTCATATGTAGCCTGACCAGGTGAATCCAGGTGAAAGCTATGATCCCTTATTGATGTCACTTGTTAAATCCACTTCAATCAGTGTAGATGAAGGGGAGCAGGTTAAAGAAGGATTTTTGAGACAAAATATTGAAGTGTCTTTGATGGGGGTATGGTAGTAGTTGCTAGGCGCACAGGTTTGTGTCAAGAACTGCAACACTGCTGGGTTTTTCACGCTCAACAGTTTCCCGTGTGTATCAAGAACCCACCCAAAGGACATCCAGCCAACTTGACACAACTGTGGGAAGCATTGGAGTCAACATGGGCCAGCATCCCTGTGGATAACTTTCGACACCTTGTAGAGTCCATGCCCGACGGATTGAGGCTGTTCTGTGGGAGGGTGCAACTCAATATTTGGATGGTGTCCTTAATGTTTTGTACATTTAGTGTATGTTTATGTGTTGAAAGCTTTGCCTGGCTCATGAATCATGACTGGGGCCCTGTGTTTTAGTAAATAATGTCACATGACCTGGATTCTAACCTCTATTTTAAGCCTTTTCCAGAAATTAGAAATACACAAAAAATGAAAGCAATTGTCTAAAGAATGTGCTGGACCATCTGACATAAAAAGAAAAGGGGACAGATTGATGAAAAATCTTTAAATAAAGATTCAAATCCAGGTCCTGTGACATGATTAACCAAAACATAGGGCCCCATGACATGTGATGTCTTGTTGTTCCGTCAGTACCATCATCCTGTATCACATGATCACATGGGGTCTGGCCGTGTTGCTGTGTGTGGAGGGTGTGGCCATGCTCTACTACCCATCCATCTCCAGGTATGTCAACAGCTCGCCATTGGCTGTGTCTGTGACATCAAGTTTGTGTTGTCGTGAATCACACTGAAAATGTAGGCTTGTGAAGTTGTGACACCATTTATGTACTGCTGACTGTCAACATACTTGGATGAGTGAACATTGTCTTAGGATACATGATGATTAGGGATGTATGATTATAACATTGTGCTGACAGGTGTGTTTTTGTATTTTCTGTGCAGGGAGAATAACGTGAATAACATGTTTTGCTTTTATCCTTGATGTTAGACCAGTGCATTCCAAGACCTGTGCTGTACACTGACAGTCAATAGCCCAATTGTAGGATTTTGCCAATGAGACCCTTTATCTACTTCCCCAGAGTCAAATTAACTTGTGGATAACATTTATATGTACTGTATCTGCGTCCAGTATGAAGGAAGGTAGATGCAATTACATAAAAATTGAATCCACCAGTTCATCTGATTTTGAAAAGTAGATAAAGGGCTTCACTGCCAAAATCCAGAACTACCCCTTTAAATGACTGAGGATTGTGGTGTGTAAACCCAACATGTCTCTGAACTGCTTCTCCTGTGATCCTTCCCCCATGCCTGGAGGATACATATATGGTCGTGTGATGTGCAGTGCGTTTCTCTCAGTGTGCTCTCTCGTGTTGCAGCTGTGAGAATGGCCTGCAGCATGCCATTCCTCACTACATCACTACCTACGCTCCTCTACTGCTGGTGCTAATAGTCAACCCTACGCTGTTCGCCAGGACTGTGTCTGCAGGTCAGTTCAAACTGCCCCTCTGGTGCTGGCTAGCTGTTTATGATACAGAGCACTAGACAGGCAAAATGCATCCCAAATGGCACCCTATTCGCTATTTAGTGCACTACTTTTGACCAGGGACCACAGGCCGCATCCACAGGCACACTCATATCAGATATTCCATACAGAGATAAATACTAACAGCTCTATTGTATTTACATGTATAGGCCTACAGAAATGTGTTTAAATGGGTTCATTCTTTTATAGCTATTCTTTTTCAAAATAAACATTCTGTGATTATTGTAAAACCAGAAAGAAAGAAAGAAAGAAAGAAAGAAAGAAAGAAAGAAAGAAAGAAAGAAAGAAAGAAAGAAAGAAAGTGAACGTTTGTTTTTTCCATTCAGTGACATCATTATTGAAGGGACGACAAGGGATCTACACAGAAAACGAGAGACGCCTGGGAACAGAGATAAAAATACGCTTCTTCAAAATCATGCTGGTCTTCTTTATTTGGTAAGAAACTTCTCTTTATCTTAGAATAAACCAGAATATTGCATTTCATTGTGGTATACACAGTATGCAGTCTGTAACATTTATCCTGTCTTCTATTGTATTGTGTTAGCCAAACAGCATACAAAGCTTGACGGCAAGTAAATGGGTTATGGAGGAATCTATATTACAGCTCCTGGGAACAAAGTCAACTTAAATTTGATTAAGTTAAGGCAACTGTCCTTCCTGGCAATGCTGGAGAATGGCTTATGTTTGAGCTTCTTTCATAAAGTCCATGACCTTCCTTAAAGAGGTCATACTTATAATGCTGTAGTGTAAATCCATTTATTTCTAAAAAGCACTTTCAGAACATTATGGAGAGCTGCAGAGGCCCTTGAATTCTAAGATCCAAGTTTCCAAATTGAATAACTGGCACTTCAACTGATTTTTTACTACACTTTTTATCAATTACTTTAAGGCTGTGTTTACACAAGCAGCTCAATTCTGATCTTTTTTTTCACTAATTGGTCTTTTGAAAAGATCTGATGTGATTGGTCAAAAGACCAATTAGTGGAATAAATATCAGAATCGGGCTGCCTGTGTCAACTCAGCCATAGAGACCTAATTTGGCATATTGTAGGTAGCCCTGGGTGAATCTGTCTAGTCAGCAAAGGAAGTTAACTAATTTTTATAATAAAAAATAAGCTTCATTATAAAAAAGTATTGAAATTCAGTATGCTTTCCTGAGATTAATGTACGATACCTTTATCATACATTATCCCACTTTTCAGCTGGCTTCCCAACATCATCAATGAGAGCCTGCTGTTTTACCTGGAGATGCAGACCGATATAAAAGCTGGTGACCTGAAGAATATTCGAAACGCAGCCCTCATCACATGGTTTATCATGGTGGGTTCACTGTCAATACATTTACCTTATAGTAAACGATCTTGGCCAGAAGTTTTCGTTTGTGCAGGAAACGTGTCCAGCACCAATGTTAGTGTGTTATACTGAAGGCTCAGGTTTGTTCATATCTGAAGGTCTCTGTGTTGTGTTCTACTGTTTCCAGGGGATCTTGAACCCCATGTCAGGCTTCCTCAACACGCTGGCCTTCCATGGCTGGACGGGCTTCAAAGTGGACTGCAGCCTGCAGAGGAGGAGGGAGCTGGCCTGGGACTCAGCTTCCACCTCTGCGGCTAACGCGGGGGGCTACAACCCCATCGTGGGCTCCACCCTGCTCTACCAGAGCCATGTCCAGGAGGCCAAGAACATGACAGGCAAGAACATGACAGGCAACGGGCAGCCGGCCTCCGACGCCATCAGCGTCCTATCAGAAGGTAATGGGCATGTGTGGCTGCAGAGCGGGGAGAATGGCAATGGTAACTCCCCAGTGTATCAAGGCTGGTGAAACCTGTTGTACACACGCTGGGCATCATAATCTAACGTTACATTCTACAGTGCATGGTGCTGCCAATAAAGCTGCACTCAGTTTGTTTCATATCATACCAGCAAGTATGGGTTTGGTTTTATATTATAAAGTTATAGATGACTTCAGACCAATAGGGAATGTGCCTCACTCACTGGGCAAAGGTTTCCTTAGTAAATCCAGTTTTGATATAATAATACTGTCAGAGATTGTCCCCCAGGACCAGCTTAGATGATGTATTGTAGAGGATGATGGTCTGAGCCAGGAGAAATGACCAGGGAAAGAAGGCTTTTGTTCTCCTCATGAAATGACATGTACTGTTTGTGTAGTGTAGTAGAACATGTATTGAACTGCGATTTGCTGCTGCATCTTTTAACTCCATAATGTCAAATATTTATGCTCTCACACACATGAGGACAAAAATATAACATGTATTTTGGGAGAAATGTATGTTTTTGTTGGTAGTTTTTTAAAAGTGTTCTACTATTTAAGCAGACTTAGGCCTTGATTCAATCAGATCGAGCGTTAACCCGCATTGGCAGACATCCGCATAGCAGATGTTTTGGCGATGTTGGAGGTGTAACTGTGGTATGAGCTGACACATTTCAGCGGCTGCTCTAGTGTCACAAACCACTCCTTATTATCCCTAGCGCATTAGAAGTTCAAACCGTTGCTGGGAAGTGTAGACTAATGCATGGTTTCATGTTCATTTATAGCCTATCAGTCTAATCGAGGTGTAGACATTAGAAAATCACGCATTCGAGTGTTTGAACTTGTAACACGGCTGCATGGGATTTGTTAGGATTATAAAGTTGTCTGGTTTGGTTGCATCCAATGGCAGTGTGCGCGATAAGCTAACGCAAGGAGCCGCTTTTGGATTTGACAGCTCTAACGCAGTTCCTCCTCCGACACAGCCAATACAACCGCTATGCAGGTGTCAGCTAGTTCGGATCTGATAGAATCTAGCCCTTAGTGAGTCGTTTCGGTGCACAATTTCAAGATAATGTACACAAATATTTAATGTTTTTGATTGATGTTCAGGATCTCTGACAGTGATCCTGACTTTTTAATGAAAACCCCTCATGAAATAAAGAACAACTTTCAAGGCTTTAGTGTTTCTTGTTTATGAATTTGGCCCTGTATTATGGCTCTCAAGGATCGTATATTATCCCATGGGAATTCAGTTTCAATATAGAGTTGGCTTGTTGTTTTTTGGGTTTAACAAGAGGATCCAAACATATATTTGAACCCATAACAACACATGTAAATACAGTCTTGTCTAAACTATTCAAAAAATCCCAATGGTAAGAGATATGCTACTTGTATGAAGGTGTTGTGCATGCCTTGAATGAAGAGAGCTGCAGCAGAGGCATTTTAGACATTTGGGAGTTTTGATTTGAAGTGTAAGAGAAGGGATATATATACCCGCCTTAACTCAGTCATCTCCCCTATTCCCTATTTTGTCTTGCTAGGTTCAGAGTCTAGTACAATTGAAATCCACATTTCCACTGAGCACCGAGACTTAGAGGAGATAGACGCAGATGGAGAATCGTTGGGGAGCTCTGCAAGGCACTAGCTGGAGCCACCTGCATCACCTGCTGCCAGCTTCCACTCTCTGCACCTCGTCTTTGTCTAACTCCCATTGAGTAACTCCCCTGTCTTTTAGGCCGCATCCTAAATGGCACCCTATTCCCTATATAGTGCACTACTTTGACCATGGGCCATAGGGTTCTGGTCAAAAGTAGTGCACTTTATAGGGAATAGGGTGCCATTTGGGATGCGCAGAGTTAGACCCTGTCCCTGATCTCTGTTGGAAAACCATGAACCCATAGACACGTCTCTAGATCCACCAGCAGTGTTAAAAATTGTCTGTCTACCTGTTCCATTTCAGTTATTTTCTCTTTAGGATTGCCATTTCATTACTACTGTAGCATAGTTAAGAAAGGTTTGATGTTATCAAAGAACAACATGACACACTTGGCCGTCCGTCTGCTTCTCATATCTCTGGTGTCCATATATGACAGGCCCCAAAGGGTTTGCCAGTTAATTTGCCTCAGCACTGACCACACCGCCCTCCTAATCACCATTGGCTAAAGACAGTGTGGTGTTACGTTATTGAACTATCAACTGTACAGTAATGGAATAGTCCCCAAGGCTACCTCACGGTGTCTCATGTTCAATTCAGATAGGCAATAGTACAAACCTGACATTTCTTATTGATGATGAACCTAGAGGCTGCCTTTTAAAATGTGCCTTATTACTCCAGAAACGTATTCAATGCAACACATCAGCAGATCCACAGTGTACTGTACGTATGCATGTATGCCTTGTGCACATAATTAGCCCCCAAAAGCATAAAAGAACGGGAATATAAATCCTCTTTACCTGAGATGCTGTTTATAGGTAAACGATTTGTAGATAGGGTTTTGAACGTTACATTGTTAACCTTGTACTTTGGTTCTATTTTATACAGTATTAAACATTGTGCAATTGTTGAGGTTTTGTGATAGTGTTATCTTTAACCCAAATTGAAGGAGGGTAAGCATTTTGTAATTTCTTTCAAGTTTGATGTGTCATCATGAGCTAAATGATCACATTAAATATCTCAAAGTGCTACACTGACACATCAAATATCTAACTCACCATATGCACATCATCATAATAATGCTATACATTCTGCCGCACAAGCCATAATTAAAGGGAAATGACAAGAACCCAACAATACAAGACAAGGAAAGTGTTTTCTAATATCAAAATAGAGTGATTTATTTGAGACATAGTGTGACTTCATTGTTTAGTCTTGGAAACAGATGACCATACCCTAGACGGGGTGGGGGAGAGAGATCAGTCACAGCACTTTATTCCACACTGGGCTTCTCAGCATGCCAAGATGGCCACCAACCACAGTCCGATTCTCAGTCTGACACAGACAATAATGGCTCTCAGCAACAACAAAAAAAGTCTGACAATGACCCATCCATCCATCAACGCCCGATTATGTCGTAAAAAAACAAAAAATAAAATGCTGCCTTTCCCCTTTCATCAGAAATCCAAACAAAAGCTGATCCTACCGTCACACATTGCTCTTAAAATGATCTTGACTGAAAGAGAGAAAAGGGTCCAGTAAAAAGGCATTGTCAAAGTCACGGCTTGTTAGTTTGAAGAGACTAATATCACGTTAGACCACGGTGAGTACAAGTAGACATACTGCATTCAAATGGGCAAGTTCGTCTTGCATGGCCCGGTGCCCCAGGTGATTTCACTTAAGGACCAGTGGAGAGGTCTAAAACGGGCCATGTAAAACCAACTTGCCCATTTAAAGCTAAACCCATTATACAGGCATCTCAAATCAGAAGTCAAATCTGACCAATTAGATCAGGCAGTGGAGACATCAGGACCTCAACCCAACTCAACCAATCACAGCTTAGAAGCTACAGCAAGACTTTCGCTTGACCAATCAGAGCCTGGTTGATCGGTCAGAGTGTAAGCTCGGTTTCCGCCAGATCGCTTGCGGTGCCAAACAGAGGAGTACTGTTAGAAAAGATCAATAGATGACTAGTGATGACAGTTTGCTACTAAAGCAACATTGAGACAACACAATAAAAACGTTCACAGCCACCTCTCCTTCTCCTAGTCAGTCATCATGTTCTCTGTCTGTTCTGATCTCCATTTCATTGGTTGTCATTAGGGCTGAATACAGACTAAGTTCACCGACACATGTCCTGTTTCACCTCCCAGACCTGAGCCAGGGGGAACCATGACAAAACAGGTAGACCGTACAGAATTGAACATCCCACCTTTAGCATGTTCATCACTACCCATGGTCCACATAGTTATGTTGAGGCACAGAGCTCCATGGCTTAAAGTGTTAAGCGCCATCAGTGAAATGACTACAGTCCACCTCAGCGCCACCTGACTTGACAAACCAACCTGACATAATTGGCAGAATAAAAGAACATACATGGTGACAACAACAGAGAATCTATCTGACATGCATTAAAATGAATCAGGGTCTTGGAACTGAGTATCAGCAAAGAAACAAGGCAATATCTATAGCCAGTATTGAGCATCTAGAGGATGACGTCAAAGTGTACTGTATATAAACATATATACACAGTATATAAGTCTGTGTATTCATCTAATTTACATATCTTTACATTCATAAAATTTACATCCAGAAGGGAGAATACTTATACACCACTTTTTGCATCTTGTAAAGTTTTTGTTTTTTCCTCATGTGAATTAAACATCATTAAAAGTTAAACTGTTTTTTTTCTGTTGAAATGGTGTTATTAAATGTGAGAACAGAACTACCTCATAGCGGGCCCTTTTGTTACTCTGACTCTCAAAAGTCCATTTGAGAAAAGTCAGCAAGAAGTGCTCTTGAAACAGAAACCCTTTTCCACTCAGGACCACTTAAACATCACATCATTTGAGGAGGCCAGTGCAGCACTAACTCATGTCTCCCACATTGTTTCTCAACTCAGGACACCACAGGGTTAACATGTGCTTAGATAAGTTCTAAAACACAACCTTTCTCTCACAATTTGACCCCAAACACTGGTCTGTCTCTCCTCACACCGACCTCTCCCTCTGCAAACCTTCTTCCTCATGATTCAGGCCCTAGCCAAATAACAGCAGGGGCAGGTGGTCCTTTTACTTCCTCTTTAGGCCCGTTTTAAAACATGGCTGAACAACATTTATTGGATTTAGTCCAGTCCTGTGGATTAATTAACCCTGCAGATTTTCTTTGTGGTCTCAAACAGGAGACACAAATCCACAAACTGCCATTCAGTAGGTTGTGCCAGTTAAAAAGTATTTTGTTGGTCTCCTGTGTCCACCCTATGAGGTTGTCCTCCACGTTGCCAGTCCTGCTTTGAACTATGAGAGTGTGTTTGCTACTGGCAGAAGGCATTTTTTCCGCACATTCCAGGGTCCATCTTCAAAGTCACTGCCAGGATGCTATTTTCGGAGCTCGAGAACACATACCTGGAGGGCAAAGATAGCATGATTAATAATACATATTATGCTTCAGAATATTTTGGTTTCTCTCCATGCACTTCTGAAAGCATTGATCCTGAGACTAAAGCTTTAGGGGCTTTGCTTGTTATCGCTTTAGTTTAACGTACAAAAATGAGTGATAGTAGTACATGCATAAATAAATAAAAACACATCAATACAAATTATATACATCTTCAAACACAAAAGATAATCGTATCAACACAACATACCGATCCATCTGAAGCGCTAGCACCAACTTTGTCTCCTGTGCTGTTCCAGCACACCTCAAAAATCCCACCGGTCCCCCTGTAGCTATGCACCAAGGCTCCAGACTGCAACCACAACACAACCAAATCACAACCAACTCTGATGAGGACTGCTTGATGACCATAGTTGCCTGCTTGACCTAACAACAATGTCACAGCCTGTATTAAACATAGGGCCAGGTGGTTTAACTGACCACAGGTCCTACTAACTAACTGTTATAAGACGCTATAACCTGTTATAAGCTATAATAACCTGTTAAACTGTTACAACCTGTTAAGCTGCTAAAAGCTGTTACAACCTGTTATAAACTGTTATAACTGAGTTATAACCTCCAGGGTGACTCACCATGGTGTTCCAGATGTGTACACACTTGTCGAAGGAGCCGCTGGCCAGGTGCTTCCCGTCGGGGCTGAAGGCCACACTGTAGACGGGCTCCTGGTGTTTGGTCAGGGTGTGGATACACACACCTCGCTCCACGTCCCACAGACGCACCGTCGAGTCAAACGAGGCACTGCGGGGTAGGACAGAGCACATGGTCAGTTCTCTATCTACTCACTGCTATCTACATCTATCTGCTAAATGCAAATACGTACTGTAACTGAAGCCCAAACTTTGTTCAAGTTTATGTTCATATCAACAAGCCATTACTGATCTTTCAGTACTAATGGTAATTTACAGGGTTTGACAGGAGAGCTAACACCTTTATAATAAAGTAGCAACCGGGTAGTTCTTCCAGCTTCATGTTGTCAACAACACTACATAGAAAGAAGGATATGAAATGTAAGAAATATGTCAATAAGTTGGCTTTGGTGCTCGACGCAAACTCTCATTCAAAATGCTGATCCACAGAGCCAAAACGAGATGTGTGATGTTGTAGAATCGTTGAGATGGTGATGGTGTGAACATCTTTCACCACAAAAGGAGAGACATGGTTGAGAGCATGTGTTAATGAAAAGAGGAGCTGACGTTCATTAACACTTTCTCATCAAAATTGTATTATTAGGTAGTGTAAGCCAAGTCTTCTGGGGATGCCCCTGGCTAGGTTGCAAATCTCACTTTACAAGGACACAGGAAAGAATTGTGAGATTAAAACTAAATGAATAAACAGAAGTTGGGAAAGAACCGAATAAATCACAGGATCAGACATGAGCTGTATCTTGGTGTACAATAGCTGCATTTACCTCAGATCACTATCAAGTTCCTCACAGGTCAGAGCAGTAATGGCAGTTTTACATCCAGAGTGAAATATAGGCCCATCTCAGGGGATTTCAGAAGAGGTTGTAAATGCCTGTGGTATTTGAACAGTAACATTTACACATGGAAGCATGTCTGGGTCATAGGCTTTATGTTCCTGGGCCACTGACAGTTACTAGCCCTGGGAGAATGTCTGGGACACTTTTTGACAAGAGACCCCTTCACTGGCACACACACTTCCCATTCTCAACTCATAAATCACAACACTGTCCCAGAACAAGTCTAGGTGCTGTGAGTGTGTGTGTGTCCCACCTAGCCAGCATGATGTTGAAGTTGGGGTTGCTGGTGCCGGGGCCGGTGGGGCTCCACTTGATAGTGTAGATCTCTTTACTGTGGGCCTGGAGGTCATGGACCCACGAGTCCTGCTTCATACTCCAGATCTGTGAAAGAGGACAGCACACTTCAAACACACTGTGTAATCATTACATTATTATATTGACATATAGAGATCATGGTCATAGGAAAGAGGTGGAATTCATTGTGTGTCCAAAATCTTGCCTGAAGTAGAAGTGCTGGCCTTACCTTTAAAGTCATGTCATCAGAGCAGGAGGCTAGTAGCATCCCTGACGGGTCCCACTTGATAGCATTGACTTCATTCTGAAACACACATGGGCAGACAGACATCATGTAGACTTGTAGAGGACCAACAAGACATCATGCTTATCCTTTCACTAGTTACAACATAATCCTGTTTACAGACCTTCAGAAGTTTGGGAAAATACAGTAGGTAGAGAAATCCTAAGTGTGACTATGTCCTCAGTGGTGTGAGATGTAGAGGTTAGAACAGAGATGCTGTTTGTTTACCGTGTGGCCTTGGAAGGTTTTGAGCGGCCGGTCGCTGCCCATTCGACACACGTGGATGCACATATCTGTGCTACAGGAGGCAAACGTTGTGTTGTTCTGCCAGTCCACGTCCAGCGCTGGAGCTGTAGGTAGGAGGCAACACACAGGGACAGGACAGTATTCAAAGGGTTAACTCACATCAGCCGGGAAGCTGAAGTCCTACATCTTTCTGTTCGGGACACAGGGGGCTTACCTGAGTGGAAGGGGAACTGCTGCTTGGCCTCTCCTGTATGTGCGTCCCAAATGATTGTCGTCTGGAAAATGACAACAGATACATAGCAAATACTGCAGGGATAATTGATTGCTACTGGAGTTACTTGATTTATTCGATTAAAGATATATATAAAATAAAAACATGATTTATATTTTTAAAAATACCTTATCTACACCAGCACTGAGGATAGAGTTTCCTTTCTTGTTCCACTTAAGTGCAAATATGGGCCCTTTGTGTTGGCCCAAGGTGCTAGCCAGATTACCTGTGAAAGGCAATAATTTAATGTATATGCACAGATGACAATATGATTCAGAATGGGGATTGGGCACTGTAATATAATTGAATTAAAATGCAACAAAACTCAACAGACCATCTTTTGTCCATATCCTTGCAAATCCATCATAAGATCCTGTTGCTAAGAGTGTCCCGTCGCTCTATGGGGTCAAATAGAATAACTGTCCTCAGTACAGAGAACTTCTAATGTTCCGTTCCAGACCATTTCAGTCAAGTGAGAATTGATACAGTAGATGATGGATGAAATGGACCATTGAGAACTCACATTCCAGTCTAGTGAGGTGACATCTTTGTTGCTGGGGACGTCCTGGCCTCCCTCCCTGATGCAGTGTCTGAGCACCAGCTGGGTGGAGCTGCTGTTGCTGTTCTCATTCAGGTTCCAGATCCGGGCTGTCGAGTCTCCCGACCTGGACACACACACAGGCAGAATACAAAAGAGAAGTCAATCCACACGGAGAGAGAGGAGAGAGGAGAGAGGAGAGAGAGAGAGAGAGAGATCTGCTCTAGCCTCTCAAGTCCCTGAAAAGCTCAACCCAGTGCTGACCCATCCCTGTGCCCCCCACCCTACCCCTGCCCCCTCCCCAGTGAGACTCACCCTGAGGCCAGCAGGTCGCTGACAGGGTTCCAGGCACAGATGAACACCTCTGACTCGTGGCCTCGGAGGACCGTGGCCTTGCTGGCTGGGATCTCCACGTCCACATCCATCTCCATGGGCTCACTGTGGTTATCTGTAATCAGATCACATCCACACTCTGTTACAGACACATACATGAATCCCAGTACCTACTATACAGGAGATGAAATACATTGAAAATATAGCTCAATTTCCTTCTCATCCAGAGCCATATTCAGCTGCAAAAACTTGAACTATCTGGACTGTTTCTCTATATTAAGTTGGTTTCTGACAAACATTTGAGGTGTTTAACCTCTCCCCTTTCAAATCATAACCATTTAAGATCACAGAGAATTTCAATTAGGCTAGTTCCAACCAACTACCCAAAGAGCCAAGAACCAGAGACAGTTACTAAGTCTTAAATAACAGTGTTATCTAACAATTGCAACTACCACATCAAACGTACTTGTTGACCCAATTGAAGCTGAAAGTGCAATCTGTACAGGATCAAAGCTCAACCATTTGGGACATGAGCTAAGAGATAATCCAGTAATCATCTTCATATCCTGCCTGCAATATTGATAAAATGTGTTCTTTCAGAATAGTTTTTGCTGAAGAGCAATCCTACGGGGCTGCAGCATCCCTGTCTGTTCAGACAAGCATTACTTCAACTAAGATAGTCTTTGCTGATGTTCTGCCACCCACCCACACACACACACATTAGACTAACTCCAGTGGGATCGGCTGACACAAACATCCACAACATCCGCTATCAGTTTCTCCCTAGTCTAATGCGTCACCCGATCCATACCTCTCTGGTTTCACTGGCTGAACTCTAGAAGCAGCTGTTAGGGAGGCACAATGAAGGTGAATGCATGCAGGGTCAAATTCACCAACACTCAATGGCATGTCACTAATGACCTCACATTCAGTGAAAATCACATGGCTCTAGAGTATCACACACACATGCTGCTTGACGTAGTAAGTCTCACATAGTAACTATCAAGATAATGTGGGAAAAATACATAGCTATCATTTGCTAAGTTACGGCTAAGTCGTTCTTACACATGGTGTGTGTGCCGTTCTCCTCTCCGTTTACGGTGGCCTCTCCGTTCTTTGGTGCGTTGGCTTGGTTGCTTGTGGCGGTGGCTGCAATGGCGCAGGCCGCCTGTTGCTGGGCTAGCTTGTCGCGGAAGGCCTGCTGCCGCGTCTGCACCACGTCTGGCATCACCGCGTCGATGAGTGACAGAGACTCGATGGGCCGCCCATCAAACACCGTGCCATCCTACCAACACAACACCAAACATGCCATGTTTACCCCATTCGATGTATAGTGCACTGATGGACAATACATTCCAACTGTATGATTTACATTTTTAATTCGCCAAGTACAATAGTGTATTGATTTTGGTATTGTTGGAGAATTAGGATTTCGATAAACTTACTTTGCATACAAATGAGTGCTGAGCTAAGTATTGATCTGTATTAGTGAGGGCAGTCTTTTAAATAAATAACCCCATTGATTTACATGGAGAGTGTGGTAGTCCAGGCCAGGGTCATATTCTCTAGGCACCAAAAGGAAGAAAACAGATAGAAAAATAACCTTAAAAAATTATATATATATATATACAGTGGGGAGAACAAGTATTTGATACACTGCCGATTTTGCAGGTTTTCCTACTTACAAAGCATGTAGAGGTCTGTAATTTTTATCAAAGGTACACTTCAACTGTGAGAGACGGAATCTAAGACAAAAATCCAGAAAGTCACATTGTATGATTTTTAAGTAATTAATTTGCATTTTATTGCATGACATAAGTATTTGATCACCTACCAACCAGTAAGAATTCCGGCTCTCACAGCCCTGTTAGTTTTTCTTTAAGAAGCCCTCCTCATTACCTGTATTAACTGCACCTGTTTGAACTCGTTACCTGTATAAAAAACACCTGTCCACACACTCAATCAAACAGACTCCAACCTCTCCACAATGGCCAAGACCAGAGAGCTGTGTAAGGACATCAGGGATAAAATTGTAGACCTGCACAAGGCTGGGATGGGCTACAGGACAATAGGCAAGCAGCTTGGTGAGAAGGCAACAACTGTTGGCGCAATTATTAGAAAATTGAAGAAGTTCAAGATGACGGTCAATCACCCTCGGTCTGGGGCTCCATGCAAGATCTCACCTCGTGGGGCATCAATGATCATGAGGAAGGTGAGGGATCTGCCCAGAACTACACGGCAGGACCTGGTCAATGACCTGAAGAGAGCTGGGACCACAGTCTCAAAGAAAACCATTAGTAACACACTACGCCGTTATGGATTAAAATCCTGCAGCGCACGCAAGGTCCCCCTGCTCAAGCCAGCGCATGTCCAGGCCCGTCTGAAGTTTGCCAATGACCATCTGGATGATCCAGAGGAGGAATGGGAGAAGGTCATGTGGTCTGATGAGACAAAAATAGAGCTTTTTGGTCTAAACTCCACTCGCCGTGTTTGGGGGAAGAAGAAGGATGAGTACAACCCCAAGAACACCATCCCAACCGTGAAGCATGGAGGTGGAAACATCATTCTTTGGGGATGCTTTTCTGCAAAGGGGACAGGACGACTGCACCGTATTGAGGGGAGGATGGATGGGGCCATGTATCGCGAGATCTTGGCCAACAACCTCTTTCCCTCAGTAAGAGCATTGAAGATGGGTCGTGGCTGGGTCTTCCAGCATGACAATGACCCGAAACACACAGCCAGGGCAACTAAGGAGTGGCTCCGTAAGAAGCATCTCAAGGTCCTGGAGTGGCCTAGCCAGTCTCCAGACCTGAACCCAATAGAAAATCTTTGGAGGGAGCTGAAAGTCCGTAATGCCCAGCGACAGCCCCGAAACCTGAAGAATCTGGAGAAGGTCTGTATGGAGGAGTGGGCCAAAATCCCTGCTGCAGTGTGTGCAAACCTGGTCAAGACCTACAGGAAACGTATGATCTCTGTAATTGCAAACAAAGGTTTCTGTACCAAATATTAAGTTCTGCTTTTCTGATGTATCAAATACTTATGTCATGCAATAAAATGCAAATTAATTACTTAAAAATCATACAATGTGATTTTCTGGATTCTTGTTTTAGATTCCGTCTCTCACAGTTGAAGTGTACCTATGATAAAAATTACAGACCTCTACATGCTTTGTAAGTAGGAAAACCTGCAAAATCAGCAGTGTATCAAATACTTGTTCTCCCCACTGTATATACACTACCAGTCAAAAGTTTGGACACACCTACTCATTCAAGGGTTTTTCTTTATTTTTACTTTTTTTTTTTACATTGTACAATAATAGTGAAGAAATCAAAACTATGAAATAACACATATGGAATCGTGTAGTAACCAAAAAAGTGTTACACAAATCAAAATATATTTTATATTTGAGATTCTTCAAATAGCCACCCTTTGCCTTGATGACAGCTTTGCACACTCTTGGCATTCTCTCAACCAGTTTCATGAGGTAGTCACCTAGAATGCATTTCAATTAACAGGTGTGCCTTCTTAAAAAGTTCATTTGTGGAATTTCTTTCCTTCTTAATGTGTTTAGGCCAATCAGTTGTGTTGTGACAAGGTAGGGGGGGTATACAGAAGATAGCCCTATTTGGTAAAAGACCAAGTCCATATTATGGCAAGAACAACTCAAATAAGCTAAGAGAAACAACAGTCCATCATTACTTTATGACATGAAGGACAGTCAATACGGAACATTTCAAGAACTTTGAACGTTTTTTCAAGTGCAGTCGCAAAAACCATCAAGCGCTATGATGAAACTGGCTCTCATGAGGACCACCACAGGAATGGAAGACCCAGAGTTACCTCTGCTGCAGAGGATAAGTTCATTAGAGTTACCCAAATGCTTCACAGAGTTCAAGTCACAGACACATCTCAACATCAACTGTTCAGAGGGGACTGTGTGAATCAGGCCTTCATGGTCAAATTGCTCCAAAGAAACCACTACTAAAGGACACCAATAAGAAGAAGAGACCTGCTTGGGCCAAGAAACACGAGCAATGGACATTAGACCGGTGGAAATGTGTCCTTTGGTCTGCAATCCAAATTGGAGATTTTTGGTTCCAATCACCATGTCTTTGTGAAATGCGGTGAAGGGTGAACGGATGATCTCCGCATGTGTAGTTCCCACTGTAAAGCATATGTGTTATTTCATAGTTTTGATGTCTTCACGATTATTCTACAATGTAGAAAATAGTACAAATAAAGAAAAACCCTTGAATGAGTAGGTGTGTCCAAACTTTTGACTGGTACTGTATATATATATATATATATATAGTTTTTGTGTTCTTTTGCTAAATGTTTTGCTACGGTATGCACTAATTAATGCGACCCAAGGCAGCACTAGAAGGCAGCCTGGACTGGAGCCCCTTGGCTCACCTCGTTGATGCTGATCTCTGCGTCCACATACTGGAGGCCTTTCTGCAGGATGGAGATGAGGGCAGCAGGGGGCACTAGTGTTCCATTGATGTTGGACTGGCTGATGTGGCTCTCAATGCCAAAGGTGAACGCTGAGTGGGAGAAACCTGGAAACGGACACACAGAGAACACAGTCAGTACAACGACAACACATTTACATTTTAGCACCAGAGACCCTGCAAACACAAACCTCTCACTCCAACATATACATATCTACAGACATCTGCCATGTCTGAGGTGTTATTTCTAACTTTTTATATCAATGTTATGTAAACCAAAAAATTAAAGGGTACGCAGACAGCGAAGCGAGTCAATCATTCGTTCCACGTCAACTTTTTCAGCTATATAAATGTTAACATTCCAGAGCTATCAAGCATTTATCCAATGTCTGGCTTCAAAGAAAGCCCCAACAGTAATCAAATACAGCGGCTAGGATCTCAATAATTCATTCACCCTGTGAAAAATAGGGTAGTATGAATGGCATGTTGACACAGGTACAGTTGAAGTCGGAAGTTTACATACACTTAGGTTGGAGTCATTAAAACTTGTTTTTCAATCACTCCACAAATTTCTTGTTAACAAACTATAGTTATGGCAAGTCGGTTAGGACATCTACTTTGTGAATGACACAAGTAATTTTTCCAACAATTGTTTACAGACAGATTATTTCACTTATAATTCAATGTATCACAATTCCAGTGGGTCAAAAGTTTACATACACTAAGTTGACTGTGCCTTTAAACAGCTTGGAAAATTCCAGAAAATGATGTAATGGCTTTAGAAGCTTCTGATAGGCTAATTGACATCATGTGAGTCAATTGGAGGTTTACCTGTGGATGTATTTCAAGGCCTACCTTCAAACTCAGTGCCTCTTTGCTTGACATCATGGGAAAATCAAAAGAAATCAGCCAAGACCTCAGAAAAGAATGGTTGACCTCCACAAGTCTGGTTCATCCTTGGGAGCAATTTCCAAACGCCTGAAGGTACCACGTTCATCTGTACAAACACCATGGGACCACGCAGCCGTCATACCGCTCAGGAAGGAGACGCGTTCTGTCTACTAGAGATGAACGTACTTTGGTGCGAAAAGTGCAAATCAATCCCAGAACAACAGCAAAGGACCTTGTCAAGATGCTGGAGGAAACAGTTACAAAATTATCTATATCCACAGTAAAATGAGTCCTATATCAACATAACCTGAAAGGCCGCTCAGCAAGGAAGAAGCCACTGCTCCAAAACCGCCATAAAAAAGCAAGACTACGGTTTGCAACTGCACATGGGGACAAAGATCATACTTTTTGGAGAAATGTCCTCTGGTCTGATGAAACAAAAATGTAACTGTTTGGCCATGATGACCATCGTTATGTTTGGAGGAAAAAGGGGGTTCTTGCAACTCCAAGAACACCATCCCAACCGTGAAGCACGGGGGTGGTAGCATCATGCTTTGGGGGTGCTTTGCTGCATTAGCGACTGGTGCACTTCACAAAATAGATGGCATCATGAGGAAGGAAAATTATGTGGATATATTGAAGCAACATCTCAAGACATCAGTCAGGAAGTTCAAGCTTGGTCGCAAATGGGTCTTCCAAATGGATAATGACCCCAAGCATACGTCCAAAGTTGTGGCAAAATGGCTGAAGGACAACAAAGTAAAGGTATTGGAGTGACCATCACAAAGCCCTGGAAGGCTACCTGAAACGTTTGACCCAAGTTAAACAATTTAAAGGCAAAGCTACCAAATACTAATTGAGTGTATGTAAACTTCTGACCCACCGGGAATGTGATGAAAGAAATAAAGCTGAAATAAATAATTCTCTCTACTATTATTCTGACATTTCACATTCTTAAAATAAAGTGGTGATCCTAACTGAACTAAGACAGGGAATTTTTACTAGGACTAAATGTCAGGAATTGTGAAAAACAGAGTTTAAATGTATTTGCTAAGGTGTATGTAAACTTCCGACTTCAACTGTACATATGAAGGGAAAGCGATATTCTGAACGGCCAACAGACAGGTAGAATAGGCTTGGTTTCCACTAACTGTAGTTTCTGGATTTAATGACACCTCTACTTTCCTATTCCTGCACTCTCTCTCAAGCTTTTCATAGTGTTTTTGGTGAATGTATTGAAGTAGCCATTTGTAAAATGTGTGCCAAAATTCCCAAACCTTTAGGGATGGTTTAGATCAGGGGTGTAAAACTCATTCCATTGAGGGCCTAGTGTCTGCTGGTTTTTAGTTTTTCCTTTCAATTAAGACCTAAACAACCAGGTGAGGTGGGTTCCTTACTAATCAGTGACCTTAATTCCTCAATCAAGTACAAGGGAGGCGTGAAAACCTGCAGACACTCAGCCCTCCATGGAATGAGTTTGACACGTGGTTTAGAAAGAGTCAATGTAGTCTAATCCATGACAACATAATCCACAAGGTCAACTACAAAGCCATTCTCAATTCCTACATTACCACACAAACAAATACACAAGAAAGATCTAAAGCAGAAGTATAATAATCATTTCAGCAGACAGACAGACAGAGACAGGACAAGTGTGTTACAGGGAGGTTGGCAGTCATACATACCTGACTCCTGAAGATATCTGTACACCAAGAAGTTCACTTCATCACTGGTTATACTCATCTTATCCCACCTCGATGGAGGAGGTACTGTATCTTATCCCACCTCGATGGAGGAGGTACTGTATCTAGTAAGGATCGGCCCACTCTAGGAAAGAAAAAGAGAGAGGAAGACATTTTGAGTTTTAGATTCATTACACAGCTAGCTACATCATTTCACAAGATGAGTGGGACAATGTAGGTTATATCTAGTTAGGTCCCCAATCATTATTACCAAATGACTTGACAGCTACCATGTCCTCACATACAAAGATAAAGCAAGACCATAGTGCAGTCATGTACTTCCCACATGCACACACACACACGCATTGAGAATGTCAACGACCAGGTCACTTAGCCAGTTACTCCATCTCTACTTCCCAGGCTAAGTATTCCCCCCATCGCTCTACTGTGACCCGACTGCGGCGTCCATTTCCATTTGGCTTGCAGGGGAAAGTGGCAACTGTCTACCATTAGTGACCTGGCCACTGATCTAGATGGGTAGAGAAGCCTAATAAAGCAGGACATGGCATTAAATGCCTACTGTCACTATCTAGTAAACTGCAGAGGAGAACTCAGCACACTGCGTAGGGCTAATTACTGTTAAAATTGTGCAACATTCACATCATTATCGCTTTCTCGGCGCCTGGGTGAACATTTCAATTTGGTATTCTTTCAAAACTACAGGGAGCTGAAGAAAAACCTCAAAACTGAGCCCTTTAGAATCATAGCGATTGAGTTTTTATTGTTCCCACTGATAACAGCCTTCAGGCTAATGAGCGCTTTGCTACAAAGAATGATTCATCATTTTCCAACAATATATCAATTCATTGTCAGTACACAGTATATTATGCATAATAGGGTAGGAAATATGAAGGTGAGACTGGAACATTACCTTTATTTTATTTAACTAGGCAAGTCAGTTAAGAACAAATTCTTATTTACAATGACAGCCCACACCGGACAACGCTGGGCCAATTATGCACCGCCCTATGGGACTCCCAATCACGGCCGGTTGTGATACAGCCTGGAATCGAACCAGGGGGTCTGTAGTGACGCCTCAAGCACTGAGATGCAGTGCCTTAGACCGCTGCGCCACTCGGGAGCCCCGAGAGAGAAAAAATCCTCAAAATCCTGAAACTGTAGGTGCAACCAGGTTGTGCGAAATACCCTTAAGCACTGCAATAATCAACTTTATTTTGTATCAAAGCCCAATGTATCTGTTGACGAGTAAAGCGAAATCTCAAACTGAAGACAAAGCAAACAAATACAGTGAGCTACCAAAGTATTGGGACAGTGACACATTTTTGTTTTGTTTTGGCTCTGTACTCCAGCACTTTAGCACTTTAGATATGAAATTATACAATGAATATAAGGTTAAAGTGCAGACTGTCTGATTTAATTTGAGGGTATTTTTATCCATATTGGGTGAACGGTTTAGAAATTACAGCACTTTCTGTACATAGTCCCCCCATTTTAGGGGACCAAAATAATTGGGACAAATTCACTTACATGTATATTAAAGTAGTCAAAAGTGTAGTATTTGGTCCCATATTCCTAGCACACAATGATTACATCAAGCTTGTGACTTTACAAACTTGTTGGATGCATTTGCTGTTTGTTTTAGTTGCGTTTCAGATTATTTTGTGCCGAATAGAAATGAATGGTAAATAATGTATTATGTCATTTTGGAGTCACTTTTATTGTAAATAAGAATAGAATATGTTTCGAAACACTTTTACAAAATGTGGATGCTACCATGATTACGGATAGTCATGCATGAATCGTGAATAATAATGAGTGAGAAAGTTAGACGCACAAATATCATACCCCCAAGACATGCTAACCTCTCACCATTACAATAACAGGGGAGGTTAGCATTATTCATGTTTCATTCAAGACTATCCGTAATCATGGTAGCATGAAATAATGTTTACATATCTTGCATTACCCATCTCATATGTATATACTGTATTCTATACCATCTATTGCATCTTAGCCTATGTCGCTCTGACAATGACATTGCTCATCCATATATTTATATATTCTTATTCCAATCCTTTACTTAGATCTGTGTGTATTAGGTATTTGTTGTAGAACTGTTAGATATTACTTGCTAGATATTACTGCACTGTCGGAACTAGAAGCACAAGCATTTCGCTACACTCGCAATAACATCTGCTAACCATGTGTATGTGACCAATAAATTTGATTTGATTGGATTAATATAGAAGTGTTTAGAAACATATTCTATTCTTATTTACAATAAAAGTGACTCCAAAATGACACAATACATTATTACATTCATTTCTATTCGGCACAAAATAATCTGAATCACAACCAAAACAAACAGCAAATGTATCCAACAAGTTGTAGTCACAAGCTTGATGTAATCATTACATGCTAGGAATTTGGGACCAAATACTAAACTTTTGACTACTTCAATACACATAAGTGAATTTGTCACAATACTTTTGGTCCCCTAAAATGGGGGGACTATGTCCATAAAGTGCTGTAATTTCTAAACGGTTCACCCGATATGGATGAAAATACACTCAAATTAAAGCTGACAGTCCAACGTGATGGAGTACAGAGCCAAAACAACAAAAAATGAGTCACTGTCCCAATACTTTTGGAGCTCACTGTATGTGATATATCACACATACTGTAGTCAAGACCATGTAGACAACAATACATTGTAAAATGCTTCCTATTCATGTTGGCAGCTCCAATCATTTACCTCTCTAAAAACAGCCAGTTATCCATCATAAAGAACCTTCACCCCCACAAGAGGTTAAGACTTCCTCAGAGATTAACAATACATTTGAACTTGATCCTAGAACTGAACTTTAGAAAGCTGGATCATGGCCATTGTTACTTCTTGTGCTTTCAGCCTAGTCTGAGGGGTAGAACTGGACAAGAGGGACAAACTTCTTTCCAGATCAGAATCAGAGTAGAGCCAGTCAGTAAGAAATGCAGGCCTCTGTAACATCCATACCACACCACACAGAGCTCAACTCACTCTAAAGAGTTCCCTTTTGGTAGCATAGCAACAAGCAGGAACCGGCGCAAAATAGACACAGAATAGTGCTGTTCCAATTACCACTGGGCTCTGTGCCAGCCAGGTCGAACATGTTACTCAACATGAATAATGCCAGTCTTCACCTTGGAGTAACAGCGTTGCCTCCGTCCCTCTCCTCACCCCAACCTGGGCTTGAACCAGGGACCCTCTGAACACATCAACAACTGCCTCCCACGAAGCATCGTTACCTATCGCTCCACAAAAGCTGTCGTCTTTGCAGCGCATGGGAAACAACTACTTCAAGGTCTCAGAGCGAGTGATGTCACCGATTGGAACGTTACTAGCGTGCACCGCTAACTAGCTAGCCATTTCACACCGATTACACTGGGATATTCTTTCAAATGGACTCTCTCTGGCTTTATTGCACCGCACAGCAGACATGCAGCGCTCAAATTAAATAACCCCTGATATTGGCTGAGTGTGAATGTTCACATGAATTTTCGCCAACAATAACAGATGGTGGTATGATTTGGAGCTGGTGTGAAAATCAATCTCATGCTGATACACATTCTCCTTGTGTGGATTCACACTAGCGTTCCATGATTACATAAATCACACCACCACATTATTGAATGAGAGCCATCGCTTGATTTAGAGTGTCATATGAAACCAAAAACGCAATTAATAATCTGATCAATAATTTATTACACATGAAAGAAATTACAACATAAACACCAATGCTGGAAGCAAGTCCCATTTTATCTAGCTAAGCCTTTGTGTCATAGTCTGGGTGGGCTGCAAAACTCAGAGCCAACCCAACACACTACTTCTCTTTGGGCTAATTAGATAACAAGCGGGGCTGGAAGGGAAGGGCTATCGGCATCAAAATCGCCAGCCACTGCTCCCATGGCCGCCATCGCCACCATAAACAACTGGAAACATAATTAGCAGGCGAAGCCCTAAGGGGCAAATGTCCCAACGGGTCGGGGGGGGGGGGGGGGGGGGGGGGGGGGGGGGGCCAGCACTAATCCATATATCAGATGGGCACATGACGGCATCATCCATTACAGAGCTCCCTGGGCATCTAGGCTTCCCTCGACACAACACAGCCTATTCTCTTCTTCCAGGGATTCTGACACAAATGCTTACCTAGGCATTTGCTTTGTGCTGTGGCAACTGGCAAGAGCACTTTGAAGTTGTGATCTCTTGAGTGATATAGGTATGGTGAGGAAAAATTGAGTTGCTGGATTGAGAACATTGGTGATATTGACACTGTCTGAAGAGCAATTCCACAGTAACAGAGTGATGCTGAGACTCAGATGTGTTACTTTGGGTATGCCAAAACAAAAACCAATGATTGCAAAGTTAATGCAGATGCAAAGTTTGGTGACAGAATGATGGCACAAACCGTCATTCTGTTGCCAAACTTGTGCCGTCATTCTGTCACCAAACTTTGCATCTGCACTGTTCTTTAAGTACATGTGTTTTTGTAATATCTTCTGCGGAAATTGTCCTTGTGCATAGAGTTGTATGGTTTGTTTAACTTTACAATCATTTGTTTTTGTTTGACATACATTGTAAAGTGAAAATCTTAGTCTCTGCATCACTCTGTTACCTTGGAATTGCCCGGTACTGTATGCTTCCACATCAAACACATACTCTATGCTAGGCTTGGGCGATATACCGTTTATAGCGTATACCGGGATATTTTGAAATACTGACGGTCTGATTTTCAATACCGTTTTTAAAGGTCAGTATAACTATAAGAAACATAAGATGTGTCAAATAAATTATATCCAGCTAAGGGTTCCAGCTTTGCATTTGGTTTGCTAACTTGCTAGTAGATAAGTAGCTAAATGTCAAGCTCAAGCTTATTATTTTTTTACAGCAGACATTCTAGCCTGGGTACCAGTCTCTTTAGCTAACATTCCACTCCTTGCCCTACCTTGTCATTGCCAAAGAGACTGGCCTTTATGCAATCTTCAAATATAAATATTATATTT